CGCAAGCATCCCGTTGAGGGACTGTATCGATTTCTTCGAGCTCGGCGTCGCGATCTCGGAGAAGGCTCGGCACTTGTCTGGTTTTGCCTCGATCCCACGCTCGGTCAGATAGAACCCGAAGAACTTCCCTGCGCGCACCCCGAAGGTGCACTTCTCCGGATTGAAACGCATCCTGCACCTCCTCGTCGTCTCGAAGACTTTCTTAAGGTGTACCGTGTGGTCGACTTTCGCGCAGGACTTGACGATCATGTCGTCCATGTAGACCTCGAGCATGTCGCCAATCTCCCCTCGAAAGACCTTGTTCATCATTCGTTGGTAGGTGGCGCCAACATTTTTTAGGCCGAAGGGCATTACGTTGTAGTAGTAATTGTTCGACTCGATCATGAAAGTCGTGCTCTGTTTGTCGACCTCGACCATGGGGATCTGGTTGTAACCTGAATACGCGTCCATGAAGGACAGCAGTTTGAAGCCCGCCAAGTTGTCGACGAGCTTGTCGATGTTGGGGAGGGGGTAGGCGTCCTTAGGACATGCCCGGTTGAGATCTGTGTAATCAACGCACATCCTTCATTTTCCATTATTTTTCTTAATGAGTACAATGTTGGACAGTCAGGTTGAATATCGGGCTTCCGAAATGAAATTCGCCTCTAGGTGGTCTTTTACAGCTTTTTCAGCAGCCGCCGACTTTTCGGGGGACTGCCTACGCCTACGTTGCACTACGGTCCTAGCGGCCGTGTTGATGGAGAGCTGATGGCAGGCGACCTCTGGGTTGAGTCTGGGCATTTCTACGGCGCTCCAGGCGAAGAGGTCGGTGTTCTCGCGGAGGCAGGCCTTCAGCTGTTTCCTCGCTAGGTCTGGCAGCCCCGCCCCAATCTTCACGGTCTTCGTCGCGTCTTCCCCGAGGGTCACGATCTCGAAGTCTCTGTCTGGGATGGGGCGCGTTGGGTGGATAGGTTGTCCGTTGGTGGATGGAGGAATGTCGCTGAATTCGTCCTCGTGATCTGGATCTTCGGTGAAACGGTTGTTGAGGTCCACGGAGTCGACGTGATCCTTCGATTCGCTCTTCGGGACGGTGGAGGGCGTAGTCGCTTTGGTCGTGGGACCAATCGTACTTAGGCCCTTCACCGTTACTTCGAAACATCGATGGGCAGCTTCGATGTCCCCGTTGAGAGTGACGACGGCCCCCAACCTGGTGTAGTACTTCATCTTCAGGTGGACGGTGGACGGTACTGCGGTGAGCTCGGCCATCGTCGTTTTCCCCAGGATGCAGTTGTACAGAGATGGGCACTCAACGACTAGGAAACAGACGTTGATTTCTCTGGTCGTTTCCTTCTCCTCGAAGGTGACCTTGAGCTCCACGTATTCCCATGGTCTTGTCGTCGTCCCGTTGAAGTCCTGGAGATTGGAGCCTAGGTAGGGGGACAAGTTGGAATTGTCGAGCTGAAGCGTCGCGAAGAGGTGGGTGTACATGATGTCCACCGAGCTCCCCCCGTCGACCAGGATGAGTCGGACATCGAAGTTGTCCATCTGTGCCCGTATCAAAAGGGGGATGTTCGAGTTGGGGGCTCCCCCAGGAAGCTCCTCGAGATAGAAGGTGATCGGATTGGATCGACCTCGGAACTTGTCAAACGTTTTCATCTTGCCGGAGTTGTTGCTTATAAGCTCATCGAACTTCTGCTTAATTGATCCCACCGAGAGTTTGCTCGGGGTTCCGTCGGAAATGACCATCGCCCTCGGGAAGTATTCCCACCGGCTGGTGGGGCGTACTGGCTCCTCGGGTAATTGAAGTTCGGCAGGGAGGTTGAACTCTCTTAGGGCGAACCAGTCCTCTGGTTGGCCAACGGTGAGGGCTACCTGTAGGCCAGAGTCGTTGTTGGGAGGAGGGAGGTCCTCGACTTTTTTAGCCTCGGGAGCCTCCTGCCATGGTGGATCTCCTCCCCGGGTGTACCTCTTCAGATGCTCGTCTTTGATCAGAATTTTGATTGCATCCTTCTATCACGTGACTGTGGCTTCGGTGGAAGCGACAGTATTTAGATTTGTCCACGTTGGCTTTGGTGGTGCCGATTTCGGAAAACGGACACCTCCCCGGACAAATTCTGAATTGGCGCATTCAGCCAATATGCGCTCGCGGGAAGCGACTAGTGTCGTGTATTCGGTGAAACGGTCGACGGGGCCCCGCTGCTCGCGGGATTCTCGGGGACAGTCCTCTTGTCGCTGGTCTCCCCCGCGTCGTTGTCACGAGGTCCCTTCCTCTCGGGGCCCTCGGGGGGCTTCTTTGTTCCGTGTGTCGCGGGTGGTGTTGGCAGTTTGCGTCTCCTCGAACCGTATATAATGGCGGGCCCTGTCGAGGAAGTCTTGGAGGAAGTTCAGTCGGTGGATGGCCAAAGCCTCGTAGAATTTGGAGTCTTGGCGTAGGTCTTGCTTCATCAGGTAACGTTTCATCTCGTCTGAAGTCGTTACATGCACCGCCTCCCTTGTGAACCTCTCGATGTAGTTCTTGAGGGGCTCATCGGGGGCTTGGATGATTGCGCCCAGCGCGGCTTCCGTCTTCGGATGGCGTCTTGACGCCGTGAAGTGTCGTGAGAATAGATCCTTCAGGACCCTCCACGACGTGACAGACTCGTGTTCCAATCTCTTGTACCACGTCATAGCGCCTTTCCTTAAGGTCGTCGGGAAAAGTCTGCACTTGATGGCTCCCCTAACGTTCCTGTAGTCGAGCATATCCTCGATGTCTTCCAGATGGTCGTCTGGATCCGAGGTGCCATCGTACGTCGAGAGTACGGTTGGTTTCTCCATTCCGTGGGGGATGGGGGCCGCCATGATCTCCCGGGACAAGGGGGTCCTGTAATCATCCTCGTCGCTGGGAACCGGAGACTGGGGGTGAGGGCCCGTGTCGAGGAGGATGGTTTTGTACCCTCGGTTGCCTGACGGGGGCTTCGGGTCTCCCTATCCTCGTTTCCTAAGAGCGCTTATCCTTCCGGGTCGACGACTTTGCTCACTTCTTAGAGACCACAGGTTAGGGCCTCTCAAGTTGTGGTTGGGGTGAGGGGCTCCTAGAGTTCTCGTGCTGATCTCCCCGCGGAGGGGAACAAGATGAAGTGTCGTTCTCCAGCGCGTCGATGCGCTCATTCTGCCGGAACAGCATCTGATTCGTCTGGTTGATAGCTGCGAAGAGGGTAACCATCATCGGGTCCGCTCCAGCCGGAGTGGGGATGGGCTGGAACACTATCGGGCTCCTTGCCCGAGGGACGACATGGTGCGGCGTCTCCTTGGAAAAGGGGGAGGAAGTCTGACTGTCCCTGGCGTCGGTCTCGCGGGGTTGAGACGTCCCCGGCTGGCTGTCGCCGTGGGTGATCGGTGCGACTGCGGAGTTGTGGACAGCATCGTCGTGGCGTGGGCTAGTCATGATCTTGGAATTCAAGAGGAGGAAGCTTTGGTTCTCTGCTCGGAGGAACGGGGAAGCTTAATTCTCACAGACGGCGCCACTGATCGTACCTGACCAGAAGGGGATCGATGATCTACCACGCGTCGTCGATCTGAAGGTTGTTCACCAAAGTGTTGAAGAGGAAGGGGTGTACCTAAAACACACTCTAATGTCAAAGTAAGTGACGGACAGAGTGGAAGCAAGTACAGAGAGAGAGAGAGAGAGAGAGAGAGAGAGAGAGAGAGAGAGAGAGAGAGAGAGAGAGAGAGAGAGAGAGAGAGAGAGAGAGAGAGAGAGAGAGAGAATTAAGTTACCTGACCCTCTAGTGAAGAGGGTATTTATAGTGAGCCCCCAGCACAGGGCCAACGGTTACCTAGCAATGGGTTGGACTACCAGGCTCAATGTTAGTACCTGTTAGGGCTGACGTGGCGTCGTAAAGACCAGCACGTGGTCTTCGCTCTAAGGTAACGTGGGCAGTTACTTTGTGACGTGTCCCTGCATGAGGGACACGTGGGGGAACCCCTCGAGGAGTTCCCCGGGTAGACTAGGTTCTGCCCGACAAGGGGGAAGATAGGACGGGTTGGTCGTCTAGGAGGGCATGCCCGACAGTGGAAGACCCATGCCCGGCGTGGGAGGAACGTTATGCCCGACGGGATCCTACCCGTAAGTGTGGTCCTATTAGGCCTAATCTTGGTGAGATTTGGGTCTGCTCGACTGTGGGCTAAGCCTCGGCGCAGTTCAGAACAAATCAGAAGTTGATTTTTAAAATAAAAAATAAAAGGATATAATTGAAATAAAAATAAATTACACCAAATATAAGTTTTTCCTTTATATATGTTATAAATTATAGATTATAGATAATAGTATCCAGACAAATACTCATATGTCCGCTTTTATTAATGCACGGACGAGTCAAACCCCTATATAACAGTTAATAAAAGAGAAGTTGAGATTTAATAAAAAAAACAGAAAAGGGTATAATTGAAAAGAAGGAAAAAAAGTTTATACCAAAAACAAATTTTGTATTTATATTATAGAATAGAAGAAAAAAAAGTTTATACCAAAAACAAATTTTTTATAATTCTTATATATATATTTTAGGACGAAGGGCTTATGGCAAAATCACCAAGAAAAGATCATTGTTTTGAGAAAAGTAGGAAGTAGGTGATAAAGAAACGTGCTACCATTACCATTAATATATTATCTATCGGATCAGGAACTTTTCTTAAAGCTGTGCAAAACGTCGGGCACACACTATCCTCATTTTAGTATTTACACTGTCAAGACTGAACTGCAATTCCACCATGCCCAAACAAGGTGGGCACTGCAATCACATTGATGCAAACATGAAACAACTTTAATACCATGTGGACAATGGTATCTCTACATCGTGGAATTTCACCAAAACAATGCACCTTAATGAAGCCAAGAAAATCCAGGGTACCATAGTTGCTGCAAAAATACTGGCATTCAACACTTGCAGCAAAGAGTATGATGTGTAGCCTAGAAATCCCAGTCATGTTCACGTGTACTATTGCTTCTCTCCATTCATTTCAAAGTCAACCAGTAAAATTTGCAATTATCTGACCACATCTAGTCTGTCGATCACGTCCAACGCTCGCTCTTTGTCAATATCAAAATCAATCACAGGAAGCTTTGACAAAATCCTATTAAAAGATAACTCCTTGCATTTACTTGATGAAAGACTACTACTCTTGGTCAGTCTGCATTTCTCACTCAATGTAGGCTTCAGACTGTCAAAGTCCAAGCTCTTACTGATTCCTTTCATTTTGGTTTTCTTACTTGCATCCTCCAGCAAGTTTTGCTCATCCATTGTTAAAATTGGTACTAGGGCATTTGTAGAATGCTTATTTGTCTTTTCCATGGTAGCCCCGACGGAGGATTTCATGGCAGGCCTTGCTTTGCCAGCATCACTGCCAGACTTAACTTTAACGGCCAGGCGATGAAGCCATAAGAGAAGTTCAAGAATATAATGTTCTACTTTGTCTTTATCAGCATAGTGGAATGTTTCAATTCGCATTGCACCGCCCTCGAAAACTTTCTTATCCACCTCAGAGCTTCAAGGACCACCAAGTTTTTAAAATCAGAAAGGATTGAAAGTACAGAAAATACAAAGGGGGGAGACATGAATTTCTAATTCAAACTAGAACAGTAGGGACTGGCTACTTACCCTGTGTTAGCCCACTCCCCCACCCAGCCAAAACCATGGTGTGCTCTGAACCAATTTTTAAACACCAAAATAAAAGGTCAAAAAGGTAAATAAACTGATGAATAAAGATTACTTTTCACGTGGCCAGGAAGGAGTTAGTTGACAAAAGGCCAAAGATCTTACTTGGATGTGTTTGTGGCAATTGGGACCAACCAATGTAATGTTTTCTCCATCTCGTCTTTGATATTCGCTGCAGTTATCTGTGTAACCCAGACAGCAACCACAAGGAAAGAGTGAAAAAACCAACAAATTTAAGAAAGATTTTCTTCAATAGTATGTGTAAGGGCAGAAGAAAGTTTATTTCTCAAAACTTGTCAAGCAAAATCTTAGAATTCTAATTGTGTACAATGTTCGCTGCAAGTTTATCAAAATACTACCAAAATATGAAGGCCGGTAAGAGAATAAGTATTGACGAATTGAGACATTGACTACCAGAGATGAAGTTTGCTTCAACCTAAAGCTTTTATATATCTATTCTAAAAAAATCCAAACCCATAATTTGGGCTTAATTGTAATTTTGGTCCCTCTATTTTCATTTTTTTTTAGTTTTAATCCCCCTATTTTAAAATTCAGAATTTGTCCTTCTATTTTCAATTTTTTGAGTTTTGGTCCCCCTATTTTAAAATCCAAAATTTTGATCCCTCTATTTTTATTTTTTTTAGTTTTGATCCTCTATTTTAAATTTTGTTTTGAATTTTAATCCCCTTTTCCAATTGAGAACATATTTAATAGGGGACCAAAAGTTTTAGAAAATGAAAATAAGGGGACCAAAACTCACAAAAAATGAAAATAGAGGGACAAAAATTTCAAATTTTAAAATAGGGGAACCAAAACTCAAAAAAACTAAAAACAAAGGGACAAAAATTCCGGATTTTAAAATAGGAAGATCAAAACTCAAAAAAATGAAAATAGAGGGACCAGAATTGCAATTAAGCCCATAATCTTTTGTCTGATTTTTCAACAAAGCAATAATAATAGAAAGTATACGTGGTCAATCATACCTCTTCTACAACATGAATGGATGATAATTTGGAGCGCAGAGCTGATTTTATATTAGGGGGCAAATTTTGATACAATGTGTCCCTTGTATTTGCAGGCATAGCAATATACCTGGCTACCTGAAAGCATTAACATGGACTTGGTACAATGCTCAGCAATGCAAAACAGATTTGTGGTTGATTTTCTCTCTTAAGAAATAAAGATTGAAAAGTAAAATTTACATTTAATTCAACAACATAATATTTGAAAGTAACAGAAGGAAAATAACAGAGAAGTAGACAGGTAGCACAGAAGAAATTCAATACATAACAGCAATAGGAGAATCATTTCTACAAACTCACTTATATTTTCACCTGATTCGAGATAAGGTGCAAAAAAGAACAGTCACATGATGAAATAGATACAATTACATAAACTGACTTACAAGGGTATCAATTTGAAGTACTATATTTGCATAATGCAAAGCAAGACCAGCAGGGCCCAATCTTTGACGATTGCCAATGTTTCCAATTATTGGCTTTTGGCCATCTGCAGGTACCCATGGATAACAACATTAAAAGTGCAAAGCAAAATACATCTTTCATTACAATCTGATAGCAACAATAACTTGATGAGGTTAAAAACACGTAGTACTGCTAACAGCTTTCAAAAAGTAGACACTTTTTATTCCTACCAAACTTCAAATTTATCGATTACAAAATAAGATAAACAGAATAACATGACTGAGATTTTCACAATATAAATGTTAATTAAGTCATGACAGTGATAAGAACATTATTACATTACGTGACACTAGAACAACATAAATCGAGTGAAGCAAACATTTTATATGGCTATTAGTAGGTACAGACCTGCACTCCCAAAGTTATTGCTTATCTCCAAATGTAAAAAATGGACAATGTCTACAAGCTTCTCAATAACCTGCAATCCATTAGGTTATTAGTTATACTCGTTTTTTCTTGGTTTTTGAGTTGTGAATGAAATGTACAAGATAAACCTGCCTCTCTATAAATAAAAATTTATTTCCTATATTATCTTCAGTATTACAAATTTACATGTGGATCAAACACAATAAAAGTCTAATAGAGAATTAAACAAATATGGAGAAGGATACTGAGGGATGAGATAAACAAATCAAGATGTAATTTATAGTTACCTCCTCCAAACTTCTACACCAGAGGGATTTTTTCTTTAAATGTTTTATTTGCTTCTTTTGACTTTTAATTTCTGCTCTCAAGAATGCTAGGTTATCACCTATAAGGGGAAGAGCAATACTGAAGGTCAAATTATATATCAGAGATAAAAGATTAACATAGTAACATGAACAATACTGCTTTACTGCAAAGTCAAACTTATGGGCAACCCAACTCTTCAGAATTGTGTTCTCTACAATAATACATTGTTCTGGCTCCATTTGTTTTTAAAAACAAGTACTTCAATAACCGTAATCTATCTACATAAACTGTTGCACTTTAACAAGAATGACCTTGAAGCAGACTCGGTGACAAATTGAGAAGGCATTAGTATCAGAATATCAAAGTTTTTTTTTCTAAAACGTGGTAACCGGCCTTGAGACCGGCTAATCCAAAGGGACCAAAGTTGTTATCATAGTTGTTTAATACTAGCAAATATCTTTTTCAATATTTTAGAACTAATTAAACGATCAATGTGAATATAGTCCTCAGGTTCCACATGTTTATCACAATCTAATTGACCGGTGGACTTTAAGGAAGAAAAAAATCAATATCAAAATTATTCTTCATTTATGATTATAACTCGATAAGATCTCTGGGTTTTGGGTTAAAAAATGCCAGTCACAAGCTAAAATTTAGAGTAGCATATTATCTCAATGCCTGTTGTAACTATAATTTTATATAGTGTGTAACTGTTTGTATAGATTTTATTAGACCCATTAAGTAGGCCTATTAGGTATAACATAGTCTATTTAAACAACTTAGCGATTCTATTCCAATTACTTTTTGAAATAATAATCAGAAAGTTATTCAAATTCTACATGGTATCAAGAGATCTCGGTCTTGAGGGTATTGCATCCGCATAAAAACTCTAGTCGCATTCATTGCAGTTCCTTTTTATACTGTCTTTGTGGCAGACACTTTCTTTTTACAATTTCATTGTTTGCTATCCATTTTCACTGAATTGCTAACACTGGATCACTGTCTTCTTCTCAGTTTGTGTTCTTTTGTATCTCTAGCCAGCTGTGTGACTGTTTTGCCTAGTTCCGTTGCCAATCTGGCATCACCACCCACAGCATCAGAACTGAAACCCCAAAACCGGGCTTAGCCTAAAATTTCGGGTGAATGGACACCTAACATGCTGCCCAAGCTCCAGCACGCTTCGACACTAGTAGGTCACACGCTGCCTTCCCAGTTTCTTTCCAGTTCAGCTTTTCCAGACACTTAGGAGTTCCTTTATGATCTTGTTTGACGGATCAAATATTCGCTTTGGGATGTTTTTTCGTGAGTATTTTGGAGCCCCTTCATTTGTTTTTTGCCACTATTCTGCAGTTTTTTGGATCATGTTTTGCTTGATGTTGAATTCTAGTGCTGCTGGTCTGCTTCGCTGCTTGACTTCCCAATATTTTTTGGAAGCCCCTTCTTGATGGCAGAGACAGACACAGCAGATTCTCCTTTTCTTTTAGTAAGTATGACTTGACTAGTTTACAGACCTTCTTTATGCTCTTGGTGAGTCTCCTAATTATCCTTCTCTGGCAACTGAGTGGAAAGAAAGCATGTTTCCGATGTTTCATGGCTACTTATCATATTCCTCATAATATGAAAGGATCAATCCAGTATAATAGGGGATAAGAAAGAACTAATAAGATTATGGGTGGAAAATGGAATGGAACGGAAGGGAAGTGGGGAGCGAAACGGCTGGTCATGGAACGGGAGGGGAGAGCGGAATGGCCGTAGTTAGTGACGCAGACACTAATACATACCAATAAACATACAATTGTTAAAAATTAAAATAAATTAATCAAAACTCATGAAGTATTCATGTTTAGAAATAAAAGTCACTAGTCATAGCAAAATATGTATCCAACCAAATGTCAATAAAATTCAATATATACAAATACTTCATGAATTTTGCCATTATCGCGGTCGTTTCAGCCAAGTCACCATCAGAGTCAAACCAGCACGGCCTGGCACGGTTTTCTTGATTTTACTGTTCCGTGCCGAGATAACAGTCGGAACGGCCGAGTCTATAGTAAATTAGAGTATCTAAATTATGAAAAGAAGTTGCAGAAAAATTTAAAGAAGTGCTAGGCACTCCAAGAAGTTGCATAATAATTGGATTTGGGACTTCGGTGCCACTGATTACATGACCTCCCGTTCATAACTGTTTTCTACTTATATCTCATCTTCTAAAACTCATTATATCTCATCTTCTAATACTCATTACATTATTGTAATCACTGGTTCTTGAACTCGTGTTGTTGGTTCCTGAAAATATCAAACTTCAACCTCATTTTAAATTGCAAGACGAGATTCTTGTTCCCACACTCTCATAACATAATTTATATCCATAAGTTTATCCGGAATCAGAATTGTACAGAAATATTATTTTATTCTCATTGTACTTTTTGAGATCTTGCAATGAGGAAGGCGTTTGGAGTTGCTATGAAACATTTGCCTGATGAACAAACTAGTCAGAACGTGTGGTCTTCCACACTTCGGTCTCAGTCAAAGTCTCATTTGTTTCCCTTACAAATATGACTCAGTACAAGCATCTTGGTCATTCTCATTCTTTATGGATGAGGTATATGTTTCCATTTTTGTTTTTAATAATTTGTTGAGTCTTTAAATGAAAGATATGTTAGTTTTCTAAGCACCATCGAGTTACTTTTCCTTCTACTCTTATTAAAAGTGTTAGAACTATTTGATCTTATTGAATCTAATGTTTGAAATATGATCTTATTTCTAATATTTCTAGTGTGAGATGGTTTGTTTCCTTTATTGATGAAGAATAAACCGAGTGCCCAAATTGTTTATTCAATATTGATGAAGAATAAATCATGAGTGCCCTGATTGTTTGATTGTTTAATTTCACAATATGGTAAAATACAATTTCACCCAAAATCATATTGGGGTTTAACAGGGAGAGGATTATTATGGTTAAATGTTGCACATAGAAAATCTACTTCAAATTATCTTACATTTCAATATAGAAACTGTTGTGAATCTTGCTGTGAATTACGATAAAATTCAATATCAATTTGTGAGGTAAAGAACAATAGCAACCAAAATAAATGGTCTTCAGTAATAATTCGTACAGAGATAATATAATAGAATAAAGCAAGAAAAAATCCGAAGGTTTGTTTTCCTTGTGATTAATTGAAATCCTATGTTATGCCTGTAAACTCTTTCTCCCTTAGTATAAACTCTAAGATTGTCACACACCAAGTATATAAGAGATACATATTTATAATAGCAAATACTCAACAAAGTCCAAAATCACATGGATCTATTAACCGAATCGAAAAAAGTCTGAACACTCGAAAATACTATTTACCATACGAACAACAATATTCACCGTACGGACCTCACTATTCATCCGTACGGATAGCACTATTCATCGACCGATTTTTTTTCTCGACTTTTCGTCCGATTTTCGCGGTAAATACAATCTTCAAAATATATTTTCTTTCTCTTCATCAACAAAGGTTTTAAGACACATTTACAACAGAAACCTTAATACTAAAAGGAATAAGAAGTAAAGTGAAAATTGTCCAATGAAGAGTTGAAGTAAAATTCAGAGTTATAGCACGAGGAAGTTGTGAGGTATGGATGAAAATTGTGCTAGAATATTCAAAGATAAAGTGCAACGGTCCGATGAAGTTTTTTTGTGACAATAAGCCGGCACGACAATAAATCATTATTGTTCGACAATAAATCATTATTGTTCATAATCTTATTCAACATGTCAAGACAAAATACATTGAGATAGACCGACATCAAAAATAAGTTGGATATGGTTTGAAAGCTACAACCAATAATACTTCTGAACATCAGATGTGTTAACAAAAGGCTTATATCAGGAAGATTCACCCTACTTACTTGCAACAGATGTGTTAACAAAAGGCTTATATCAGGAAGATTCACCCTACTTACTTGCAAGTTGCAGGTGGAAATAATAGATATTCATTGACTAACTTTAGGAGTGTTGCAAATAAAATTTTATATTGTGTAATAATTTGTATTTAATTAATTAATTAGGCTCAATAGTTAATTAGACCCCATAGGTGTAGAATAGTATTTTTTAACATTTTAGTGATCGTATTCTAATTTATTTTTTTAAAATATTCAGAAAATTATTCCAACTCTACATGGCCCATTAATGATATTCCATAATTACCTCTTTGATCCTCCTCTTCGCCCTTATGCTCAATATCTTGTTCAAATCTATTCAATGCTTGAAGTTCGTGGTACAGCTCCTATGGTCACAGAAAAATTGATTTACCAAAGTTTATACAAAAAAATAATCCCTCAAAAAACTATGTTGGATAAAAGGAAAGTGCATGGAGAAGAAAATCATTCTATATTAAAACTTAATAAAGCATTTGGTTTGCAGATAGATAAAAAGCCTTGAAGATAAAGTATATACAAAACAGGATAAGTGTAGATGAGTAGACACTAAAAATGGTGCAATAAATAGGATCCTTTATTACACCAGAGGCTATTTAATAAAAATATCATTTATAAATACTAAATATTAATATATTTCTATAATCAATTACGATAGACATCCCCTCAATAACAAAAAATCTGTATTCTTTATGTACAATCATAAAATCCAACCAAGAAGAAAATACCCTACCCATTATATTGCTTTTATTTCAAAACACGTGTAATTATGAAATTTTTTATGTACACTCAGTCACGTTTACATGATTACAAATCTTATTATAGTGTGATTATTACTAATTAAATTATAAAAAAATTTATGTACACTCAGTCACGTTTACATGATTACAAATCTTATTATAGTGTTATTACTAATTAAATGACAGAAATCAAAATTACCAGAGCTAAAGCAATTTTTTTAATAAACATAGCTAAAGTAGCTGAATTCAGAAGTTCCTCATTTACTTATCGAGCATAAATCATGATACACGTAAAGTGTATCAAGTTCAAGAGAGTAAGCGATGGAGAAAAAGAAAATTGACTTTGCAATGCAAAACAATAAAGTAGATTGAAATCTTTCTTTTAGAATCAAAATCAAATACTCAAATCCTAATAATAGATTAGAATTAGAAAATCATATCAATTAGAATTTATTATATTTACTCTATATGCTATTATTATATTTACTCTATATGCTATTATTTATAGATTTGAGTGTAGTTTTATTTAAACAGATGGAATCACAAACTCAACACCATCAATCAATTTCTTATAATACATTGTCAGGAAAATTGCAAAAAAGATGAATTCTTATATAATACTTCCTATTTGGAACCAAACAATAACTCAATTGATTAACAAAATTGAAAGAGGATTATAATAAGTAATCATCTATAAACTTAAGTTAACCGTTTGATTAATTAGTTTTATACTAAAAATACTTTTACCAACAATTCCTTTGTTTAAGAGAAATTTCTCGCCGTGTTTTTCCAACTACAAAAATGTAACTATCAGTCCTTAAACAAAACTAAGTTTTTTATGGTGACAAGGAGATACACTCACAGCTGTAAATTGGACCGAATTCATCAATTGTTTCATTATTGATTCTGCCTCATCTCTTGAAAGTCTTTGAGCATTTGACTCTTTGCTGATCCTAAAATGTGAAACAAAGATGGCTAAGAATAAATATATGAAAGGCTTAATATGCTTTGAAGAGAAATGAAAGACTAGATGAATGATCAAGTACAATTTACATTACTTCTCAAAGTAACGGTCTAAGTTGTGCCACTGAGGATCCTTTGACCGATTTCCAAAACGAATCACCTCGTCAGAAAAGACTTTCAACTCCTGTCTGACAACAAACCCAAATCATATACAACTGACTTTCATATATTAAGGAGTCGCGGAATTGCAAAACAAAACACTTAAGTTATTTAATTAAGTAATCCAATACTTACCTCTTGTCTGCGGCAACAATGCTAAGAAGCTCATCTGTATCCTTTGACACTAAATCATGCACGGCCTCTGAAAGAAGCACCTCTTTATTTAGATGCCTAATACTTTTTGTGGAAAGAGAATGCAGAAGCTGATAACCTTTGACAATAGTGTTTGCAACCTCAAATGCTAAGATGAAAATTTCAGTCCCCTTTAATGCAGCTCCAGAAACAAACCCACTCCCCGCATTTAAATTTGCCATGCTGCTCCCAAGGTTGTCCAAAACCTCCACCGCCTTCCCCAATCCAGCTCTTCCCAAACGTGAACTCGCCTCCGAAACCTGAAATAGAAAGATCTTAGCGGATGATATCTTCATTTTCCCCCAACAAAATTGTTTTTATTTTTACTTTTTACACAGAAGCCCGATGAATACTTTTAAACAGGCCTCTTCACAAAAGAACCCTTTAGGGCTTATTCAAACACAATGTCAAACCCATTATACACTGTTGGAATTCAAGACACTTAAGAAGAACAATTTCCTTCCTTAATGTAACAAGCAAACTAAGTTTGAGCCTCAAGCATACGTAAACATTGACGATAAACACAAATAGAAATACAACAAACACAAGTTTAAAACTCCTAATTAGCAATAAATAAACCCTAATTCCCAAATACAAACTTCCACCTCCAAATTAATTACAAGAATATCAACTCAAATATCATCAACACCCTCTCTAGTAATTTTTCAAGTTTCCAGCAGCAAAAAATCCCTGAACAGTTCAGTGATAACCAGTTGAAAGAGGTTGTAATAAATCTACAAAAGAAACTAAATAAACTAATCTCAACGCTATCAACAATTAATGATCTGAGATAGTGAGTTTCAGTTTCAGTACAGATAATAGAGAAACGGTTAAAGTACTTTAGCGGCGTAGCGTGGGATTCCGTCGTAGAAAACGTCATCAGCGGTGACTCCGGGAGGGTTTCTGTCCATGATTTCACGAACTTGAGGCGGAGTAGTGAAATCAGCGGCGTTGTTGTTAGTATTAGGTTTATGCGAGGCATCGGAATCGGCATCGGAGTTGGCGAAGACGCGGTCAACTTCGGCGGACCTAGAACAAAGACCTCCCATGAGTTGAGAAAACCAAACCAATAATTGAATCTTTGAATTGGAAGCAGTTTCCATCTCATTCGTTCATTTTTAGTCGTTGGTATTAGTTGGACGAAGGATTGAGTCAATAGTATTAATAATAATAGGTGTAGTAAGTAAGGAAAGAGAGAGAGAAGAGTGTTTAGTGTAGTTGTATTCTACTAGTAAGGCGTTTGAAAGTATTTTGTTTGAAAAGAGAAAGAAAGAAGAGAACGAGGAGAATGGAGAGTGGCTCGTGACTTGATTATCACATGGTTTTTATCATTTTCAGACGAAACCGAAAGTCTACTCTATGTAACCCTTCCTTTTACGATGAGGCGCCAACTAGCAAGATTAAAAATAATAATAATACTCATTAATTATTTTTATTTAATAAATAATCCTCATTAAACGAGCTCCTGCTAAAAGAAATTCAAAGAATACACACTTCTATTTAACCAGAAAAAAATAATAATTGTTTTAGATTGGGACAAAATTTACCCTTTAGTCGGACAGGTCTAATCTAAAACTATGATGATGAGACCCAACAAGGTCCAAGGTCCTACGTCGTTGAGGAGCCTTAACAAGGCTTATTCTTCTGGCAGAAGGCCTCTGGACGGGAAGGTCCACACGCTTTCTGCACGTTCTTTACCTATCCTCACGCGGGGACACGTTATCAGACAACTACCCACTTCTGAAAGATATGATCAGTCCACTTTCCGAAGATTATGGGGCAGTTGATCTAGGACGACGACCACGTGTTGGTCTTCACTACGCGTAAATCACTGACATGCTATAGGGTTGGGTATTATATTCTCCACACCTTTTCTCTGTACTTACTCCCTCTAGTCTCGGTATTTACTTAGACATCAGAGCATTTTGCAGGTACATCCTTTTAATTGAATATCATAACATTTATTGGATGAAAAATCTCCTAGAAGTTTAATGTTTATATTGTTATCTCGCTTAAATACATATTATATATTTAATTTATTTGATTAGATAAAAATATATTGTGTTCTAATAAATATATATAATTGAATATATTTTTTCAATTAATTAAATCTATAATCTATAACATATATAAATTGAAAACTCGGATTTGGTGTAATCTATTTTTATTTCGATTATACCTTTTTTTATTTTAAAATTTAACTTCTCTTTTACTAACTTTTTTTAAATTATTATATGATAGTTTGCCCAACTATTTCATTCAATTTTTTATATAAAATTTAAATTAAAAAAATAAACACACAAAAAATATGTTTATATATATATATATATATATATATATATATATATATATATATATATATATATATATATATATATATATATATATATATATATATATATATATATATATATATATATATATATATATATATATATATATATATATATATATATATATATAACATAAATAAAGGAAAAACTTGAGTTTGGTGTAGCCTATTTTTATTTCAATTATATCCTTTTGTTTTTCTATTTTAAAATTCAACTTCTCTTTTACTAACTATTTTTTTATTAACTATCATATGGTAGTTTATTTCATTTATTTTTTATATAAAAATTTAAATTAAAAAAAAAATAAACACAAAAAATAAGTTTATATTTTTAAATATCTTAATATTAAAAAAAGCGGACAGACGGGGTGTCCGTCTTGACGCTAGTATATTTAATTGGATATATTTATTTAGTTAAATTTTACTTGAATATATTTAATTAGTTCATTAATATTTTAATTATTAATTATATTAAATATTGTAATTAATTACATTTTATCAGATATAATAATTATATAGTAATTATTTAATTACTAATTACAATCTGTATATTAAATAATAATTACTAAATCATTATTAATTAATTACAATATTTATTAAATATTAACTAATAATTACTATTTAATAGAATATAATTAATAAATTAAAATATTTAAATATTAATTAACTAATTAAATACACTGAATTAAAAATATAATATGTATATTAATTAACTAAATATAAAAATACAATATGTATATTAATTAACTAAATAAATATATTTAATTAAATATATTCCATTATATATATATATATATATATATATATATATATATATATATATATATATATATATATATATATATATATATATATATATATATATATATATATATATATATATATATATATATATATATATATATATATATATATATATATATATATATATATATATATATATATATATATATATATATATATATATATATATATATATATATATATATATATATATATATATAGTGAGATGCACTTTTTAAAATATAATATCTAATGAAGGTAATAATATGTATATTTAAGTGGGATAAAAATGCAAAGCAAATAACATGGTCTATAGGCGTGTTTGCGGGCCAGTTTGATTTGGTTTTGAGAGAATTTGATATCAAGACTGATCAAAAATATATTGATTGGTTTGGGTTGGTTTTGCATATTTTTCTAATAAAATTCAAACCAATCCCAATCCATAATCAATGAATTAGTTTAGTTTAGATTGATCGGATACGCTATATATAAATGTGCAAAAGTGTTTTTAAAATATTTAATTTACATCAACAAAATTTCTTAAATAATATAAAATTCTTAATATTTTTGTTTCTTCGTATACGTATACGTTATGAATAACGTAAATAATATTTTATTTTTTTCTTCTTGAAGTTGAATATCTTATATAAATTTATATGATAATAATGATATAAATTATATGAATTAATATGGTTAGTTCGGGTAGACGGGTTCGCAGGTAGAATTTTAAAAATTCGTTACCCGAATCAATTAATATCAGGTTTCATTTGTTTGGTTCGGTTTTTGCCCGAACAAAAAATTGTCTAACTCAAATATCATAGTTTGTAGGGGTTTGCAGAACCCAACTCAACCCGAAGACTCGTCCTAACCCAATAGTTTCGGGTTAGTCTTTTTCCCATCTCAGGTAAAAAAAATGGAAAAACATGACTGTCCAAAAATAAATTCGGTATCAAGTGAGACGGGTTCGGGTTGACCCTTGGGTTATCCAACCCGTCCTAATATTATGAATGCACATGTGGTACTATTTATTTATTTAATTTATTAATATATTTAGATTATTCCAAATTAACAATAGACTTTTCTATTTTCCACCTCATAATTTAATATATGCACTAAATAAATATTAAGTACACATCTTCCTACTTTCCAACTTTCACACTTTTCTAGTTCTCTTACATCATGTTTTTTATTTTACATCTTTTTACTATTTTTTAGGGAAAATAAAAAGGTGATGACATATATAGAATTACATCATGTTTTTTATTTTTAAAAATTGATTTTAGATGTATTCATTGTTTTTCATTCATGCTAATGATTTTATTCATATTTCTTATTTAAATGAATTTTTTAAAATACTATAATAAACTTTTTAAGTCATTATATTTTTTCCCATATATTTCGGGTCAACCCGATATCGTCTTACATTAACCTGGTCTAAACTAACTTATATATTATTGAGTTTTTTACGGGTTTAGGTACGGGTTCGGGTCATTAAAATATCCCGATCAAAATTTAGGACATGGTTAGGGTTAGTCATAGCTCATCCCGACCCGTCTCTTGCTCACCCCTAATAGTTTGGTTTAGATTTCGGTTTGCTTTGGATTTGCCCGATTCAATTAACACCTTTAATTGCCCAGTGGTAAGGGTCTTAGGTATGGGAGAGAGAGAGAGAGAGAGAGAGAGAACCTGAGTTTAACTTTTCTTTGTCCTAAAATTAGGGACTTGAGTTCAACTCCTCCTTGTTGCAAAAATTTTATTTTTTAGGTATTAAAATTTTCAATCTTAAAAAAATCAAAAATAAAAGTCATGTAATTTTAATTTAGAAAAAAAACATGTCAACTTGACAATCCACTTGATTAAGAAAACTTAAAAAAAAAGTATGTCACATCATTATTTTTATGATTGGATTTCTTGAGTGGTCAAAATAGAGGAATTTTCATAAGGTATGGATGGAATCCAAATTTTTTTATAAAAGGGTTTTAAAAAAATCGTTCATATGTCAGATGACAAAATAGGTATTAATCTTACATAAAATAATTTTAAAAATTGAGATGGCATAAAATGATATTACTATTTGATTAAAAAAAAGGTACTCACTCATATTCAACTAAATTCAAATGTAATGAGGTGTTCACTTAAACAAAATTGAAAGGTACGCATATAAAATTAAGGGTTAGATATGTCTGTGGTACTTCTAAATATCTCAAATTTCATTTTTAGTCCTTCAAAATATTTTCTTCAAAAATTGGTTCTCCTAAAAATTTTCATCCACATTTTTTGTATTTTTTACAACTTAACAATAGAATTAGCGACGAATTATTACTTAACGACTGAATTATCGGTTGTTTTAGTATAAGGTATCAAAAGTATGAATAAAAAATTTTAGAAGGAGTATTCTTTGAAGAGAATGTTTTGAGGGACTAAAAATAACATTTGAAATATTTAGGAGGACCACAAACATATTCAACCCTAAAATTAATTTTGATAAAATAAATTATGATTATACAATTGATTCCAAATTAAAATTAAATTTTGGACTTAATTATTCATGAGGTGCCTTAACTTAATTTTAGATTTTATTTTAGTCACTTATCTAATAAATGTTACATATTGGTTCTTTAAAAATAGTTTTGTTAGACAACTCAATCTTTTCTTTTATTAATTCTTGTGAAAAAATATTAACTTATGATGATTTGACATGACAGAATGGCAAATATTAAAATGTTTAGTCAATAAACATCTTATAAACGTATTTCGAGTTGCTTTAAGAAAAGTTGTGATTGTTTATGTTTTTTGTACGCTTCTAGAGTCCTTCTTCATCTACAATATTTATCGTCTTCAAAATTTCTCTTCAATATCCGAGCTTTCTAGGAGTGCTTCAATGTCAAACAACCAAAAATTTGAGACAATTGGTTTTCTACTCAAAAGAAACAATAGGGAGAGTGTTTTTGTCAAGAAAAGTATGTTCTTCATACAGTGACAAATATA